TGTTCTTATCTCAACCCAGGAGTGTTTCTTACTCCTCCGATCCTCTCCCCCCATCCCATCGGGGTAGTGGGAGTGAGCGAGCGGCTGCGTGGTGCTGAGTTGCTGGCTGGGGCTAAACCATGACACTAGCCAAGGTGGCAGGGGACATTGGAAGGAGCAGAAGATAATAAAGGAGCAATGGGGCAGAGCAGGATGTGGGGTGAAGGGACACAGTAGTGTAGGAATTGATTGTGTCAGGAAAGAAATCTGGAAAAATGTGGACGATGTTGAGATGATACAGAGATAGGAGACCTACCTCCTGTGGCGTTACCTGCAGAGATTCCTGTGCAGAGCTTGCCTTGGGGCTGCCATGGACATGGGGAGGTTTGAGATGAACCGGGAGGGCTGTTTTGTGGTGTTTGACCATAGCAGTACTGAGCTACTGAGTTAGTAGTGTTGTGGCCACCAGAACTGACACCCTCAACTGGAACCCAACTCCTCAGTGGACGGTGAACCTATTTGGTGGCACAGCTCAAGCTTAAGCCAAATCTTGGTCAGCAGGATTCCCTGCTCAGAGAGCCCATCTCTTCCTCCAGTATGGAAGCTGGATGTGTGCTAATTTGTGCCAAGTCGGCCGTGAAGGCCTTTGCGAGTGTCCCAGGCAGTGAAACCTAATGGATCAGGCTGTAATGCATGGGCACATTATGACTGAGTGGAAGCTGGGATTCCAGCTAATATCAGTATTTCTCTGTTCTTTCCAGGATCTTTGGGAATTGTTAGTGCTTCAAAGTAAGTCTAAAATGTGCTGCGTGCTCTTTCAAAACAATGCTAAAAGGCTGTTGTTCCCACTGAGCAATGTGTCCAAGGAAAGGTCTTCCAGAAAGAGGCTATAAATAGCAGAGCCTTTCAGTTTCTGAAAACTCATTTCCATTAACCAAAACCATGCACTGAGGACAGGATGTTATCTGGAGCTCTGGGTAGCAATGCTGTGCTGATTTTAATTTTAAAAAAATAAAAATGAAAAAGAATATTGTGACAATGCAAGTTACTTTTCATCCATATTAGTAAAAACATGTATTTGGCAGGGTGCTGAGTACCTTTAAGACAGTGAGAATCAAGATACTTTGTGTTTTACAGGATCATTTTGATCTGGAAGGGGCCAGCCATGCAAACCTCGAGAACAAACACGATCTGGTTATCAAGTCTCATTACAAATTAATGTTTGCATTAAAAAAAATACCTTTAAGCTTGTTCTTCAGCATGTCTGCGGCATCTTCTTTCTTCCTTTATAACAGAGCCCTTCATGTCCACGTCTCTCTGTTCGGCAGGAAAAATGCCGTTAGCGGGTAAGAGCTGGGACTCCTGCAGCTTCCCCTCTGTGGATACTCTTTGCAATAGGTCATTGCACTGTCACGCTGCCCTAATATATGAGCATTTACACCTGCTAGGAAAAGCAAGTCCACCATTCCCCTGGTGCGGCCCCAAGCAGTTGCATTCAGTCTTTTTATCATAGAAATAAAAATGACAATGACAGCAGAAAATGGCTGCTCTCTCTGGAGCTGGGCTAAGCTCTCCACTTCAAAGGTACTTTTATAGCGTCCCTGGAGTCTCTAATAAAGGACGCCTGCTCTGAAAGGCTGGCATCACTCCTGGAGAGCTGGGGAGCGTGTGTCTTTAGGGGCAATATTGACAGCACTAAAGGGCTCCGGGGAAATGGGAGCAAGAGTTACAGCTTATTTCTTTTCCTTTTATTTCCATAACTGAGCAAGGATGTTTGCCTCTGGTTGCTGTTTTGGGTCACTGGAGTGGATTTTGGAGCTCTGGGCGTGATTGCCAGGCGTGCTGAGAGCCCACAAGACTCAAGAGTTTGCATGCCTCCTCTCCAAAGCTTTCTCTAGGAGAAGCAACTCCATTGTGACTTGAGGATGGAGATTCCTGGAAGTACCACTTAAAATGCTCCCTGCTTTCTGTGCAAGTGATCTCTTCTTGTTCTGCAGTGAACTCTAGTATCCCCTGGCCAAACTTTGGGCTTCCAAAGCAACAGTGTTTAAACCATGTTTTATTAGGTCTCTTAGACTTATTATTGGCATTTGGCTGTTAGGGGAAGAAATGAAGAGATGTTTGGTGCTGGAACCAGCTCCAGTTTGTGGGACTTGCTGTAAAGATAAGAGCTGTCAGGTAGGATTTGCTGCCCTCCTTCCTGGGGCTGGTGGCCGCAGACCAGAGCTTGAGTTCAATGGTGTGTGTCTATGTGGTTATTTTTTTGTTTTGTTCAATTTTTTGTCCCCTGAACAAAACCCCCTGGATTCTGCTTTTTGTGTTGGTTTGTATAGGGCAGTTGACTCTGTTACTAAAAACTTCCGTGTTTGCCTGTTCTGTTGTAGGCTCTGTTTGCCTGTCTGGCAGAGGCAGGGGAACAGTCGGTGTTCAAGAAGCTGCTGAGCAAAGTGAAGGATGCTCAGACCCTGGCTGCTCAGACCCTTGTGTCTTTACTGAAGCTGTTTCAAGACACGAATCCCACGCTGAGAGCGGCTTTGCTGGAGAGGGAAGGGGGCAGCACAGAAGCCGTGGAGCAAACAGGTACAGAAGTGGGTGCAGCCTCTGGCAAAGTGAGCGGGCAACCTTACAGGCAAAGCAGGTCTCCAGAAACCCTGTATCCATACTCAGACACAGGAGATTTATCACGTGCTGGCCAGGATCCTGGAGCGTTTCTGTCCCGCAGCAGCGAGGTACGGGCAGTGCAGGGCTCTCCCCATTGCTGCCTGGAGGGCTGGATCAATGGCTGTGCAGCCAGCATGGGTCAGAGCACAGCCCAGCCTCAGGATTGAAAGCTCCTTTCTTACTTGAGTCTGACACAAAGCAGTGGCCTTGCAAACCTGGTGTTAACCTCCAGCTTGCTTTATGGCTTTGTGCTCTGTTAGATAAATGAGACATTTTCCTTTCATAGAGTTTAAAGAGAATAGTAAAGTGGTTTTCCTCTGCTGCTTGTGCTTGGGATGAGCTTTGCTATTCACTTAGATCTTTCACAGAGTCTCACTCGCTTCAGGAGCCTGTCAGTTCCTTCAGACTGACTTGTTTCTTCTCTTGTGTTTCTGAATCCTTTTCTCCCCAGAGAGCACAGACGAGGGAGAGTCGCTGACCGCTCGCTTGCTGGGACGCAGGGAGGAGCTGATCCAGAGCGTGACACAGCTGAGCCCCATCGTAGAGTTCCTGGAGGCGGCAGAAGAGGGATTCCTGACTGCCTCGGAGAAGCGGGTAAAAAAAATCAGAAATAAGGAAACCTCTGTGGGCGAGGGGGGGGTGTGTGTCTGCAAGGCACCATCTTACCGCATGGTTTGCCAAGTGATGTGCTGGCCTCACCTGGCAGTTTCACCTCCCTTTTGCAAAGCATGGGCCACATATGTGTTGCCTCAGGTCCTTCTGCGCTGAACTGTGGGAACAGTGAAAGCTGAGCTGCAAATGCAACCTCAAGACCAGGATGAACACTGCCTGGTACAGGGTCAGACTGCCCCTGTGAGCGGAGCCTGGGGCAGAGGAGGTGCCTGGTACTCCTCGTAGGCCCTGAAAATGCCTTTTTTGTGAGCCCAGAGAAGGCTCTGTAGTGGAGTTTGGTTTCAGCAGAACCGCTAATACCTCTGTGCTGCTGGCTTGCCAGTTACATCCTTGTGTACATGGCCATCAGCTTACCTTTCAGCTGACTCTCCCAGCTTTAACTCTTTTCTTTAACTCTTATCACACGGTTGCCTGCAAAAGTAGCACATCCACTGACTGTTTTGTTTTGCTTTTGGGGTTTTTTTTTGATGTGTTGAATGCAGCAGTTGGTGTTGCTTTCCTGTAAGCAATTGCATTATGTATGCTGATTTGCGGAAGCGATAAAGGACAAAATATTGTGTATAACCTGCTTTCCTTTGTGTTTTGGGGGGAGCTGGCTATACCCTGCCTGTGCAGCTGAAACTTGCAGGGTGCCCTAGCATGCTGTGTTCAATACGCAGCTTGCAGACCTCCTGTCCTAGTTCGTCACATCAGTTAGTTCCCCTGATGCAGGATTATAACGTGTGGAAGGCACTGTTGTGCTCAGTGGCATGAATGATGTCTGCTTTCTGTCTGAGTGAGCCTGACCAGAGCCATGACAGGTGGGCTAAGAAGCTCTGCCTGTCTTGTAAGTCCCTCAGTAATGTCTTGCTCACTTGCACGCGGTCCCTCACCCAGTGTCCAGCGTGGAGCATCCCTGAGTATGGGCACAGCTAGGTGCAGGAGGGCCAGAGAAGGTGCTGCCAACAGAAGCATCCACCTTGTGCTCATGGGCTAGGGTGTGGCTGGCAGCTGATAAATTTTCCCCTGGGAAGCAGCAAGGCTGAGCCTAGACTGGGGATGTGAGAGGAGAAAGGGAGGCGTGAATGCAGCAAAGGACTCGGCATCTGCTGGGGATACTGCGGCTGTCAGCAGAGACCTGCGTGGGGGGTGCCTGGAGCTGAGCCGTGAAAGCTGCATCAGCAGTGGGGGATTAGGATTTTTCATATATGCCTGTTCATGTTGCAGTGCGGCCTTTCTTTTAAAGGCTGCACCTTTTCCCTGCACTCTTTTTCTTAATGAAATTAGATAGTTATAATGCAGCCATTTTTCATCTCCCTTCCCATTAAAAAAAAAAAAACCACAAACCAACCACAAACCTAAACCCTTCTGCCATCATAATTCTGCCCCTCGGGCACAAGACTTGGTCTTTAATTGCACCATCATATACTACGGGACTCCTGTTTTGTTTGGTGAGGGGGTAGTGTTATTCAGTATTTCTTTTTATCCTCTTCATTCACTCAATGCTCCATTTGGTGCAGAGCCTCCAAACCCTGCTCCGAATACAAAATCCTTCTCTCTATGGGATCCCTTTGTGCTCTTGTTTTAGCCCACAGGTTCCCAGAAAATAACAAATGTATTTGGGGACCACTTCGGTGACGCTGGGTGCATTGCTCTTTC